CTACCCTTCGACCTGTTCGGCATGGGTGGCCCTACCAGGAGTACAAGACTCCAGCCGACATAGCTCTAGGAGTCATTGAGACACACAAACCGCTCCACCATGATAAGGTGGTGACCCCATTCGGATTGGGTTGGTTTTTGTGGAGGGAGGAAAACTGGAGAACCCAGAGAAAAACCCTTGGAGCAAGGCAAGAAAAAATAACAAATTCAACCCACTTATGGCACTGGGCCAGAATCGAACCTGGGCTACATTGGTGGGAGGAGAGCCCTGTCACCAAAGCACCATCCCAACTCCCCTAATAGGATGGTGCACTGGAAATGCTCACTTATGCTTATTTTACAAACTAAGGATGATAATTACCGACAGAATTACCTTGTGAATTCTGAACATGGGCGAAAGTAGCCCATATTGATGTGCACTACAGAGCACAATGCAATCAAGAGTATTGCTACTCCCCTGGTTAGCCCTGAACAATATTTTGTCAGATTGCCCTCAGGAGTGTCTAATTTACAGTTTTTGAGTACTAGTTAATACTCCTGGGGTGGACTAGAAAGGAACTGTACATGTTAGAGTAAAACTCATGTCCCACACCATAGTGACAACACAGTGATCCAGATTTTACTTTATTTTATTTGGCCACTCATGTTGTACTTACTTTTTATTTTGTTGATCCTGCTAGATAAAAAAGCACAAAATTGATGATAGCTAAGTGGAGATGTAGCTAATATTTCATTGTGAAAGTCACTAAACAGTAAATGTGAATAATTATCCATTGATTATAAAAATTTACTGTGTACCACATGTAAGTTTCATTTTTTTTTTACTGGCTCCTGTAAATACATGTATATATAATTATAGTAACTCTATGAAGAGGGCTACAGTGTTGGGAACACATTGGCCCTCTTATCTTTATCCATTGAATGAGTGGCTGAAGGTGATGCCATATGGAATCATTGTGGTTTTACTTACAGCTACACCAGAGATGACAGATGTATTTCAGAGGCTGTGTCACATGAAGCCTGGATCTGGGATAGGCATGCTTGGACTAGGAAGTGTTTTGCTTCATCAGAAAGAGTTTTTGATGGCAAGGGCATTGTTACAAAAAGGTATTCAGAGAGTAAAAGCTGTCCGGATTGATGTCAGTCAGTATCCACAGAAAAAGAAAGAATTATCATTATTTTCCATTTTGATAAATAGATTTTTAGCTTATATATTGGGGGAATACTGGACCATCTTTAACCATATCTTACTGGGGTTTCATTAAGGGCCAGGCACCAGGCAAGCTGACCGGCTGTGAGGATGATTTTGCCCAACTTGTTTGACCATCTAGTTTGACCATCTAGTTAAAAGTTTTTTCTAATTAAAAAGTTCAGTTCAATTAGTTTTGCCTGCCTGTGAAAACCAGTTGTCCTCCTGCTGAGAATGTTAATGAAACCCCTGTCTTAGTGTAAAAACTCCTAAAGGTAACAGCAAATGATAATGTATCACAATTTATGAATTTAAAAAGGTAATATTAATATCACACGCATTCCATATCACTCAAAAAAGTATTTTTTTTTAGTGACTTGTCTTTGGCGAGTGGTTTACAAACCCTTCTTGTACCCTTTCCAATATGGTGAGTAGTAAAAAGGAAAACTGCAGTCGAGTGCCTAATTAAAATCAGTGTTGTTTGATTAAAGGTCTACAGGCTTTCAGTGACTGTCCTTTTGGATGGCTGTCATTCTGTCAATCACAGCTCAGTCTTCATGACTATCAAGGAGCTGTAAAAAGTGCAAAGAAAGGTTTGTGTCATAACACAAGTTAGTGTTGTTATAACTAATAATCATAGGCTGAAAGAAGTCACATAATATATTTACAAATTCAGCTTTCTCTGTCATCATTTTTAAAACATCTTGACATGAATAATAGACGTCATTCTTGGAATTTATGGACTTTCTGTCTTCAAGACAAAAATAATGAGATTTTGTTAGCAAAGAATACGTCAAATACAAAAACAAAACCTCTTGTCCCAACTACACTGTAACTGACCAGTTTCCCAGATGGGACAAAATCTTAGTCCTGTGTTCCTTTGAAGAAGTTCATTGTTAGTAATGCTCTTCTTATTTTAACGACTAATTTTCAGGTCTTGACTGTATAAACTCATCCACACCTGATAACAGACAGAAACTGCAGAGAATGTTGAGGTAAACTGTGTATGCCCTTGACTAACAGTACTTACATGGTACTACAATTGTCTTGCCATCCTGTCAAACATCAGCCTCTTCTGAAAAACATTTTGTTCATGGTTGTTATTTCTAATAGCCTTGACAACTTTGCTTGTAGTGTAAAAATTCCAATTAAAATACCTGAAGGCTCTGGTACTAACAACACTTTTTAACCTTAAATTACTTGTCATGCAAGGAAATTACAAATATTAAGTTAGAACACCAATGTCATCTACTGTTATTGAATTATTGTCTCAAAATACAGTGGAAAGTCACTGTGGAAAGCACAAGTTATTTTACAATTCTCCTGTGTTTAGAGCTCACATGTTTGTTATTTATGGCAGTATACTACATGGCTTTAATTTGGTCCTTTACATGATTTCTGATAAGGATTATCTTTGCTTGTGTTTGCTTCTGGAAAAACATTGTAAGCTTTGATTTGTAGTCAATCAAAGCCTTCTAATACATGACAGTTATTAAAAGGACTGTAGCATACATGTACATTCAGTAGTATATTTTTACTAAAATTGTTAATCTTTGCTTGTTGTTTTTGGTTTTTTAACAGCTTAGCCAAAGCAGAGGCTCTTCAAAAACGGGGCCCAGCAACTGCAACAATGGCAAGAGACATTTATGAGAAGGTTAGGCTTGTATTCAGTTGATACTTCAGAAGTGCTGTGTCTACCTTTTTTTCTGTATTCACTTACATTTCCTCTAATTTCAGTTGTTGTCAGATGTCACAGCTGAAGAGGAGGTGGATACTCTAACTGGACTTGGTCAAACATTGCTTACTCTTGGCGATATTACACAGGCAACACAGGTGAGTATTCTTTGTTCATGGAGTTTCTATCAGAACTGAGATCAAGGGTGAAAACCTAATTTTGCCTTGCTATCTAAGTGAGTGACTGTGAGATAGTCAGAAGTGTATGCGACACTGGATCGAACAGCCCAGGTTCATTACAGACCTAGACAGGGTCATTGTGTCGCATTCTAGGGCAAGACAGGTTACTCTCACATACCCCCCCCCCCNGCCCTGCCCATGTTGCTTCTGCCATGGTCCTCACATTCCAGCAACCGATGGTCATCTGTCACGTGGGGGCTACCATGGGGCCCATCGGCCTTTGGGCTTCTCGCTGGCTTTGACCCAAGAGTGTCATTGCAGCCCCAGCAGTGACACCCCCAGCTAGTGTTGTATCATTGTCCGCATTTCCAGTTTCTGTAACAAATTGTTTTTTATGGGGTGGGGTTGTTAACCCTATGCCCAACCCCCACCTGGAGGACCAGGGAGTCACTCTTTGTCTGGTCTCTACCCTTCGACCTGTTCGGCATGGGTGGCCCTACCAGGAGTACAAGACTCCAGCCGACATAGCTCTAGGAGTCATTGAGACACACAAACCGCTCCACCATGATAAGGTGGTGACCCCATTCGGATTGGGTTGGTTTTTGTGGAGGGAGGAAAACTGGAGAACCCAGAGAAAAACCCTTGGAGCAAGGCAAGAAAAAATAACAAATTCAACCCACTTATGGCACTGGGCCAGAATCGAACCTGGGCTACATTGGTGGGAGGAGAGCCCTGTCACCAAAGCACCATCCCAGCTCCCCTAATAGGATGGTGCACTGGAAATGCTCACTTATGCTTATTTTACAAACTAAGGATGATAATTACCGACAGAATTACCTTGTGAATTCTGAACATGGGCGAAAGTAGCCCATATTGATGTGCACTACAGAGCACAATGCAATCAAGAGTATTGCTACTCCCCTGGTTAGCCCTGAACAATATTTTGTCAGATTGCCCTCAGGAGTGTCTAATTTACAGTTTTTGAGTACTAGTTAATACTCCTGGGGTGGACTAGAAAGGAACTGTACATGTTAGAGTAAAACTCATGTCCCACACCATAGTGACAACACAGTGATCCAGATTTTACTTTATTTTATTTGGCCACTCATGTTGTACTTACTTTTTATTTTGTTGATCCTGCTAGATAAAAAAGCACAAAATTGATGATAGCTAAGTGGAGATGTAGCTAATATTTCATTGTGAAAGTCACTAAACAGTAAATGTGAATAATTATCCATTGATTATAAAAATTTACTGTGTACCACATGTAAGTTTCATTTTTTTTTTACTGGCTCCTGTAAATACATGTATATATAATTATAGTAACTCTATGAAGAGGGCTACAGTGTTGGGAACACATTGGCCCTCTTATCTTTATCCATTGAATGAGTGGCTGAAGGTGATGCCATATGGAATCATTGTGGTTTTACTTACAGCTACACCAGAGATGACAGATGTATTTCAGAGGCTGTGTCACATGAAGCCTGGATCTGGGATAGGCATGCTTGGACTAGGAAGTGTTTTGCTTCATCAGAAAGAGTTTTTGATGGCAAGGGCATTGTTACAAAAAGGTATTCAGAGAGTAAAAGCTGTCCGGATTGATGTCAGTCAGTATCCACAGAAAAAGAAAGAATTATCATTATTTTCCATTTTGATAAATAGATTTTTAGCTTATATATTGGGGGAATACTGGACCATCTTTAACCATATCTTACTGGGGTTTCATTAAGGGCCAGGCACCAGGCAAGCTGACCGGCTGTGAGGATGATTTTGCCCAACTTGTTTGACCATCTAGTTTGACCATCTAGTTAAAAGTTTTTTCTAATTAAAAAGTTCAGTTCAATTAGTTTTGCCTGCCTGTGAAAACCAGTTGTCCTCCTGCTGAGAATGTTAATGAAACCCCTGTCTTAGTGTAAAAACTCCTAAAGGTAACAGCAAATGATAATGTATCACAATTTATGAATTTAAAAAGGTAATATTAATATCACACGCATTCCATATCACTCAAAAAAGTATTTTTTTTTAGTGACTTGTCTTTGGCGAGTGGTTTACAAACCCTTCTTGTACCCTTTCCAATATGGTGAGTAGTAAAAAGGAAAACTGCAGTCGAGTGCCTAATTAAAATCAGTGTTGTTTGATTAAAGGTCTACAGGCTTTCAGTGACTGTCCTTTTGGATGGCTGTCATTCTGTCAATCACAGCTCAGTCTTCATGACTATCAAGGAGCTGTAAAAAGTGCAAAGAAAGGTTTGTGTCATAACACAAGTTAGTGTTGTTATAACTAATAATCATAGGCTGAAAGAAGTCACATAATATATTTACAAATTCAGCTTTCTCTGTCATCATTTTTAAAACATCTTGACATGAATAATAGACATCATTCTTGGAATTTATGGACTTTCTGTCTTCAAGACAAAAATAATGAGATTTTGTTAGCAAAGAATACGTCAAATACAAAAACAAAACCTCTTGTCCCAACTACACTGTAACTGACCAGTTTCCCAGATGGGACAAAATCTTAGTCCTGTGTTCCTTTGAAGAAGTTCATTGTTAGTAATGCTCTTCTTATTTTAACGACTAATTTTCAGGTCTTGACTGTATAAACTCATCCACACCTGATAACAGACAGAAACTGCAGAGAATGTTGAGGTAAACTGTGTATGCCCTTGACTAACAGTACTTACATGGTACTACAATTGTCTTGCCATCCTGTCAAACATCAGCCTCTTCTGAAAAACATTTTGTTCATGGTTGTTATTTCTAATAGCCTTGACAACTTTGCTTGTAGTGTAAAAATTCCAATTAAAATACCTGAAGGCTCTGGTACTAACAACACTTTTTAACCTTAAATTACTTGTCATGCAAGGAAATTACAAATATTAAGTTAGAACACCAATGTCATCTACTGTTATTGAATTATTGTCTCAAAATACAGTTGAAAGTCACTGTGGAAAGCACAAGTTATTTTACAATTCTCCTGTGTTTAGAGCTCACATGTTTGTTATTTATGGCAGTATACTACATGGCTTTAATTTGGTCCTTTACATGATTTCTGATAAGGATTATCTTTGCTTGTGTTTGCTTCTGGAAAAACATTGTAAGCTTTGATTTGTAGTCAATCAAAGCCTTCTAATACATGACAGTTATTAAAAGGACTGTAGCATACATGTACATTCAGTAGTATATTGTTACTAAAATTGTTAATCTTTGCTTGTTGTTTTTGGTTTTTTAACAGCTTAGCCAAAGCAGAGGCTCTTCAAAAACAGGGCCCAGCAACTGCAACAATGGCAAGAGACATTTATGAGAAGGTTAGGCTTGTATTCAGTTGATACTTCAGAAGTGCTGTGTCTACCTTTTTTTCTGTATTCACTTACATTTCCTCTAATTTCAGTTGTTGTCAGATGTCACAGCTGAAGAGGAGGTGGATACTCTAACTGGACTTGGTCAAACATTGCTTACTCTTGGCGATATTACACAGGCAACACAGGTGAGTATTCTTTGTTCATGGAGTTTCTATCAGAACTGAGATCAAGGGTGAAAACCTAATTTTGCCTTGCTATCTAAGTGAGTGACTGTGAGATAGTCAGAAGTGTATGCGACACTGGATCGAACAGCCCAGGTTCATTACAGACCTAGACAGGGTCATTGTGTCGCATTCTAGGGCAAGACAGGTTACTCTCACATACCCACCCGCCAGGTGTTCAAATTGGTATTTTATTGCAGGGGGTGTCCCATTGCTGAACTTTCATCCTATACAGAGGGGAGTAGAAAAATCCCTAGTTGCTTCATACTTCAAGAAAATGAAGATAAGCACCATCCTGTTGGGTTACTAGGCTCAAACACAGACTCTTCCTTGTAGGACTGTGTGGAGTGCGATTTGTGGTAAAATAAATTGGGAAATTTCAAATCAGTTGTATATGAGTTGCAGGCTGAGACTACCTGTATGGTTAGAAAGTCTAAACTTTCATTGTGGACACTGTCATAATACAGACACTCAAACACATTCTGGTGTCCATATGAATCAGGTTTGATTGTATTACAAAAACTGATGCTAATATTTATTTTATTAACAATTTGTTATAAATTTGGAATGAGTGTTGTTTTTCCTTTTTCTAGATTTGTGCCAAAGCTTTGAGCATTGATAAGAGTTATCCCTCAGCTCTGGCTTTGCAGGTATAATGCGGATTGAAGTAGTTTCATCTTCTGGGAAACTTTTAGTCTCTAAGTTTATGTCTGTAATATGCATTCTACAGGTAACTTCTTTGTAGACTTGTAGGCTCATGTATATATACATGTAATTCTGTCTCTTGCTTTTTCATTTGCATCATTAACTGAACTAAAGCTTTATTTTCTTTTTTATTTCTCAGGGTCAAATCAGCTTTCGGGAAGGGTATTTTGATGATGCAGAATTGAGGTATATTAAATCAATACTATAACACTCGTTGAGCTACAATACTTTGAGATTGATGCAACGTACCTTTGTGCCAATTGTTTTGGAATGACATATCAGGAATTTAATAGTTACTTTTCAAAAAAGGAAAAAAAAATCATTTGACTTTGTGTCACTTTGATTGTAGGTTTTTGGAAGCAATAGAGAGGAATAAGGACTGTGCCTTTTATTATTTTCTTCTTGGCAAGTTGTACTGGGAAATGAATGGAAATCTTAGAGCTGACAAGAAAAAGTGCCTTGCTCAGTTTTTAAAGGTAGAAGTCACAAATAAAACAACATAACTTGAATTCTGATAAACTTGCGAGCAGCGCAGAACATAGATACAAGACCCCTTGATCTCAGTCTCACTTCGGAAAACTTGACTTTGCTGATTACCATCAGAACTACTTTAGCAAGTCAGAATAAATGGTAGATGATTGCCAGTATAGGAGGCACACATATTTAAGCTAACAAGGTAATATTATATTTTATTAAAAACTGGATCATTGGATAATGCAATTTGAGAGTTTTCATTGGCTTAGCCATCATGGGTTATGAACCATTACACCATGCTCCACAAATATGCTAAGCATACGTGTGAGCTTTTGGGGGTGTTTTTATTTTAATTTTAGATCAGTTTTCTATATTTTGGGGGCGTTTTTAATACACCAATTATTCCACTCGTGCTTGTTCCACATATGAGATGATTATAGCCAATGAGGTGCATAGCACCTTGTTGGCCATCTACCATCTCATATCCAATGCGTTCTTGCAGAATAATTGTTAAATATAATAATTTAAATATTTTAATAATTGTTGTCAATGGACTGTGACATGCTTGTCTTCTTTCCAAAAATGTCCCAGCCAAAAAGCTGCTCAATATAGTCATGTAACTTTTCACAAATCACTAAAGATGGCTGCTCATTTCGGTCAGCCATGTACTCTTTCTATTTTGAACTTATTTCTGTTCATTTTCTAGCGGAATGAGTACAAATAAAGTTGTTTTTGTTGTTGTGGTCACATCTATAGGTACAAAGTAGGTTTTTACAATTCTTTTTCTCTAGAACTCATTGTTTGATTCACCCAATGCAGTCACTCGATAAAAAGATATTGTCACAAGGCTTAAAAATGAAAGTTTAAAATAAGTTGTGTGGGTAATTGCATAACACGCTTCACAGAAAACCAGTAAATTGTAAATCATTAGTCTGATATGTTTATAGGCGGCCAAGTTGGATCCATACTACTCCCCATCATTTCTGTATTTAGGACACTACCATCTCAAAGTGCTAAAAGATGTAAGGTACTGTACACTGTTATCAAGTTGTTTGCAAATGTCTGTGTTATTAAATGTGGTTCCAACTGACTGGCCTTTTAAACTATGCACTGTCAAACCTCCACTAACGGCCACCTCTCTACAACATCCACTTTCTTCTGTCCCCAAGGAGGGGTTTGGCTGTATAAATAATTGCTGCTGTTTGTTTTTTAATATTTTGACCAAGCTCTTTAAGTTTTATAATTGAGAATGAATAGCAAATATACCAAAGTAGGACAAGGTACATTATACAATTTTCTAAGATCAGTTTTGTCCATTTGTCGGGGGCCTTAGCGTGCCAATGGAACTCTTCAGCAATATGGTGGCCGTTTTAAATTCTGTTGTTTCAAATAGCCATTATGGGATGCTCAGGGGGCAAATACATACTAATTTGCCCCCTGAGCATCCCATAATAGCAATTTGAAACAATAGAATTCAAAATGGCCGCTGTATCGCCGAAGAGGTCTATTGAATTGGTCATAAGTTGTTCTCAGTATGAATTATGAGCAGTTTAAATATAATGTACTATACATTATGTACTATACACTAGTTAAATAAGTTGTTTATAAAGTTATTTTGTTTCTACACCAACAGCAAAGCCAGCCGCTGCTATCAGAAAGCATTTGATCTTGATCCAAATTCTAATGCTGCTGGAATAGCATTAGGAGATTCTCTAATGGAATTGGAAGATGAGGTAGATAAAACAGTTTTGTTGACACGTTGCTTCTGGTTACTGGTTGTTTTGACCGCTTTCAAAGTTAACAAATCTGATCTCTTAGAAGATTGATGTGTGATTCCTTAGTTTATTGACTAACAACTTACGGGACTTTTCATTTGATGGATGTAAAAACTGCAGTAATTTACTTGTAAAATGAGGTGCAAGACCAGGCCTCAGTTGTTCAAAGGCTGGATAATGCTATCCATTGGATAAATCTCTATCCAGTAGATCAGGGTTGAAAAAACAAACCACGCTATCCGCTGGATAGTGATTTATCCAGTGGATGGGATTAGCCACCTTTTGAACAACCTAGGCCATGAAATTATGTAATCAGAGTGTGGTTACTTTTGTGTGTTGTATGTTGTTCCCCAAATAAATTTTTTACACTTGACTTGGAATTTCATTACTCTGTTTGCTCTGAATTTACTGGGATGCCGAGATTTGGTATTTTGGTTATTTTAGGTTGCTGCACTCAACTTGTACAAGAATGTAACAGCAATGTACTCCCCTGGAGAGTAAGCAATAATATTTCTTATAGCAATGATATGAGATTTGGCAACTTGACTGAGATGGATTATGAGTGATACTGGTACAAGAAATGTGAAATTGAAACATTGAAATGCACTGTAGATGGGCCATCTGCTTCAAACCATATCTCTGTTGATGAAACTGCAATAAACTGAAGAACCTGTTTGAATTTAAAAGAATCTGCTTTTATTTTCAGTTAATCACATACAAGTCAAGTATGTTATATAAATATAGAAAGTGGAAATTTTTTTCATTGTTTTGATAGAGTTATAGTGATGCATCTATAATAACAGGGTAAGAGAAAACAGCCATTTCAAATTTAAAAACTTTCATTACTGTTCCTATGAAGGGACCAAAAGTTTCTGTGCAAACACGTGGTATTTATAAACTTCAAGTTGATAAATAGCTACATGTTTTATTTGCCCAGAGATGCAGCCCAACGGTTTCTTTAGAAACTAATAACTCCTGTGGAGATGTCATACCATATACATTAGTTCATGTGTTTTGTAAAATACAAATACTAAGCATTCGTATCAAAAGATGCATAATGTGAGAGTGTTGTTTCTTGTTTCAGAGGTAAATGGGCATGGTTGCGACTTGGATTGTTTCACTTAAAACACAATGAGAGCATGGAAGCTATCACGTGGTAAATATTGCAAACAGTACCTTTACCTGTGAATATATGAAAGATCATATAATTTATTTGAACATCGGAAAAAAATGTGAAGACATGATTGATCATCACAGTCATATACACGACTTAAGCAGTTGCAAAATTAAAGCCTAACAAAAAAAATTTACCTGCCTCCCTCGTGGCCACGTGTCAGATAAGGAATCAATATTCCTCCTTAATTTTCCCATTCATCCCCAATCTTAAAACAGTGGTTTTATCTCCTTTTTAATCAGAACAAATACATTTTTTAAATTTTAGTTTAAAAATTAGTTTCATTTCAAGGCAATTCCATAAAACAAAGATGTTCCCCACAAATTTCTGAACTTTTGTGAAATTTCTGAAATTTGAGAACCTTGGTCAGTCACAGTGAAAAAGCATGAACACCACTTACTTTGAATATAATAATTTATGAGGAGTTTTCAATTTCATTCTTTATTGCTAAAGTTTGATTCCCTTTTTGAAGCTTTCAGAGTGCCTTAAGAGCAGATCTTAAAGACAGGTATGATGTAAAGGATGTGTAACATTTATTTCTTTACTACAGAATTTCCTTCATCAGTTTAATTATTCTTATCACAATAATTTTCAGGCATTGCTGGGAATGTCTTGGTGAAGCATACATCAGTCGAGGAAGCTACATGGCTGCTATGAAGGCCTTTGCAAAAGCTGCTGAGGTCCATATTTTAGTCCGCTAGTTGTATTTTGCCTCTTGTTTGCAAATAGATATCCTAATCAAATATGCGGGCACAGTGTTAAGTAAATGTTTGATCAATGTCCCGCCTGTACATCCCTGAGAGTGCATGGAACTTGTGGTTTTAACAAGAAAGGTCTCTATGTATTATGATTTCATTCCGTTCATCTGTCCTAAAGTGAATATAGCATGCTCATAGATTGGGATAACACTTACAAGGCTGTGGTCT